CAGTGGAGGATTGAYTGTCAGCTTGCCCTGCCCCTCTCTTCCCTCTCAGACCTGGTATCCAGATCTGCCAGATAGCACCTTTGCCCCTAGGAAGAGTTCATCCTTTGTCCATGCCGACCTGTTCCATTCATCACCCACCTCCCTGTCCCTTGGTATGAACGACCAGACCACCTTAAAACCTAAACCCTCAGGCAGTGTTCCTATCTTCTAAAATGTCGACCTTGGGCGCCGACAGAATTCCGTTTATTTCCAGACCACTGTGACCGAACCTCCTCAGCAACCCCCGATCATGTACCATTTCTACCCCTTCTTCGATTTGTCCTCCCTTCTCCCACGTTCCCTCTTTGTCTGTGCCCCTTGGATCTCTAGCAAATTGTAAGTATCCTCTTGCGTTCTAAGAAGTGGCTACACTCTCCGACGTTGTCTGTTGTTGAAAGCCCCTTTCTGGAATTGAATTATGCCAGTCTTTCCAGCATATTCGATCTTGCCGCAGTTCTGCAACCTTGCCATTTACCAGCCAGCTTCTATAGAATTTTTGTCTTTCCTTTTCCCGTTGCTCTTCATCTTCTGACCAGGCTTGTTTGACCTTTCGCCATCTGCAAAGGATCGCCGCTTGAATCATAGTTTCGGTCTCTATCCACACCTTCTCTCGTGGGTTGGACCGCCCTTCAATTGTTCTGCTGCATCTTTCCTTCCATGTGACCCACATAGTCACTTTCCTGATGAGTTCGAACCACATCCTCTCTGTCTTTCGTGCCAGTTCGGGGATGTTAGCCAGGAGGAGCAGTTGAATGGGTTGTTCGGGGAAGGGGGACGAGAAGAGGGAGTCCCAGAGTGCTGAAGCTCTCGCCCAATATTCAGTCGCCTCTTTACAAAGCATCAAACAGTGCATTACATCTTCTATCGCACCTTCGCTGCAAACTGTGCATAACTCGAGCTGTCAGGATATGTGCCTTTCCTTCTAATGTGAAACCACTGATTTACCGGGAGGGCAGCATATACGATCAGCCACTGCAAACTTCTAATTTTCATTGGTCTAATACGTTTGAATTTCTCCCACTGGATTCTTGTGATCTTATCTGCTTCCTGACCCACGAGGTTCCGTCATCTGCTTTTGATGATCGGGTCTGGATTTTTAGTTTTTAGAGACAGTCTGTAACCAAGTTTGACCGAGTAGTCCTGGACTGGGATCTTTGACTTAATGATGCTGTTGTTATTTGGCGTCCAGGCCCATTCTGCGGGGTCGAGTTCTAGGGACCGGATTGGGGTGTCCGGTTTGAAGATTGTCTTTGGCCAAGAACCTAGGACCCTCACTTTCCTGAGGAGGAAGGAATCTAGTACTGAAGATTCTACATCGCAGTTCAGGATAGCTGGCATGTCAGTACTGGTGATGGAAATCGGAAAGGAGAGGAAAGAGGCTCTGGTGTGTGAACCTTGCTGCATGTGGCAGAATTGGTAGGCTCTAGAAGGAGTGATATCATGGATCATTAAACCCCACTCACCCGATCTCCACGATTCGTCTTTAACTAGGATATCCTTCCACTCCTGTGGAATTCGGCTAAGTAGATACCGAAGGTTGGCTCCTCGTTTGTGGCACCCTTTCAGACGGGCAGTGACTTCTTGTTCCGTTATCCAGTCTTTTCTCTCCTCATTCCACAGGTGATCTATTTTCCAAATCCCATTTTTGATCCATGACAGGCACCTTTGTTCCAGGAAAAGGGGGTTGTCAACCTTGTTCTTTAACCATTCGTTCCCGAAGAGTGGTTGTCTCAGTACTTCATCCTTAGATTTAGGTTTGTTTGTCTTTTTAGGCATTATTTTTCTCCATGACCGAAGCAGTGCCGGCCAGTAAGGTGTAGGCGGTCGATAGTCCTCCAAGCTGTTGTTCCTCGTCCGATTCCTCCTTCCTGTAGTTATTACCCATTCTTTATTCATTACCCAAAACAGGCCTGACATATCGTTCGGAGAAGGTACCGGTGCTACAGATTTGATGCTATCCAGGGCCAGCTTGTTCCCGGCGCTGTCCGGGTTCATCAATAGTTTGATAATCCATTTGATTTGCAGGGCTTTCGTTTCTGTTCCGGGGTCAATAATCCCCAGGCCTCCATTTCGTGGCCTCCTTGTAACGTAGTGCCAGGCTATCTTAGAAATACCCTTTTCTTTGTTGGTCTCTCCCGTCCAAAGGTAGAGCCTGGCTTTTCTGTTCATCTCCTTGATCGAGCTGTCGGGTACTGTCCAGATGGACGCCATGTACCACATCATTGAGAAGACCGATGTATTGAGAATCAGTGCCCGACCAATAAGGGACGTCAAGATGTTGCCCCACCTTCCGATCTTATTAATCTGTTTAGCGAGAATGGTTGGGCCCATCTGCGGCGCCAGTCCTTCTCTCGTCATCAAGATACCCACATAGCGAGTGAGTGTGTCAGGCGTTTGCCATGTCATCGCCGCTTCCTCTCCCTGTAGGGAAAGGGGCTCATCTTCGGATAGCCACCAACCAATTATTTTCCCCCAGTTTATCTTCATTTCTGAGGCTAGACTGAAAGACTCCATTGCTTTAGCCAGTGTTCTAAAGGAAGAGTCTGATGCTCTAATCAGGACCGTTAAATCGTCCGCAAACATGATAGCTGTGGGGAAGTCCATCTGGTGGGTGGATCCTACGTCAGTGCTGGCTAGTCTCTGAATAGATGGATCTTTGCGCAGAAAGGATGCGACTGCCTCCATCACAAAAAGGAAGATAGAAGGTGCCAGCGGGTCTCCTTGGCGGACCGAGCGGGATATCGGGTAACGATCTGACAGTAATCCATTGACTCGGACACAGCCTACTGCATCCTTGTATAGTATCATAACCCACTTTCTGAAGTTTGGACCGACTCCCATTCTTTCCATGCTTGCTTCCATGAAGTCCGAGTTGACTTGGTCATAAGCCTTTTCAAAATCAAAGGAGAGAATAGCGGCGTTTATTTTCCTTTCCCTGATTTTTCTTACTGACTCGTTCAGTGTCATGACGTTATCTATAATGTAACGGCCCGGGATGAATCCTGTTTGGTCGATGTGGAAGCATTTATTAGTAATCTTAATGATTCGTTTGGACAGGGTTTTAGCCAACATCTTGTATGGGAGAGTTAGCAGCGAAATAGGTCTGTAATTCTTGATGTCTTCTTTCTCGCCTTTCTTGTAAAGGAGTGTGACCACGCTGCTGCTGAGAAGGTTGCCCATTCCTCCTTTAGACTAGTTGTCGTCGTAGAAGTTTAGTAGGTCATTTCCTAGCAAGGGCCAAAATTTCTCCCATAACTCTTTTGTTAACCCATCAATTCCTGGGGTCTTGTTGTTGTTCATGCTTTGAAAAGCCTGATGCAATTCTTCTGCTGTGATTAGTTTGTCAAGTGTTTCAGCCTGTTCTGCTAAAATCGTTCGTTCCAAGTAGTGTAACATTTTAAGCCTAGCCTCTCTGATATTGGTGTGTATCGGTAACCCAGTCTTAGAATGATAGAGGTCCTTGTAGAAACTGTTTGCTATTTCTAACATACCTTCGCTGTCCGATCTAACCATTTCGGGAGTTGTGTGTGACATTAAGCTTTCTATCGTGTTAGCTCTCGAGTTTGCTTTAATCCTAGCAAAGAAATGTTTTGTCATAGATTCACTGAGCTCGTGTTCACACATTCTTGCTCTTATCTGAAGGCCTTTCAATTCCCACCATTTCCACATGGCCAATTCCTCTCGTGCCTTGTCAAAAACCTCGCTATACAGCAACGAGATGGGATTGTTTGCTAGGTTAGTTTCCGCTATCTTCAGCGCAAATTCTAGAGCTTGCTTTCTTTGTTTCCTTATCGACGCTAGCTTCCTAGAGGCTTTAGCCACGTTGTCTGAGAGGGCCGCATAGCTCTTTTGAAACCATTCCCATCTCAGAGCATGGTTTAGACGCGCCAGTTTCTGTCATTCCCAGCAGTCGCACACTTCACTTTGGAAGGTCTGGCTCAGCAAAAGAGAATTGTTGAGCTTGAAGAAGCTGGCTCCCTTCTTGATCATTTGGTCGAAACAGATGACCAGTTCAATTGGCTTGTGATCCAATCCTGAATACGGAGCAAGAGGTAACACTTCCGCATCTTTGACTGCCCCCATCAAGATTTAAGATATTAAAAAGTAGTCTATTCGAGAGAACGCCATATGGTTGGCCTGTTTTTTTCTTGATTAGGGTATAGGATCTCTTGTTGGGGTGTAGGATACGCTGAGGGTCTACCAGATTGTGATCTATCATCAATTCCTGAACTGGTATTTGCTTCAAACGAGCTTATGTTGCAATGAGACCGAGAAATACGTTCTACTGCCAGGTCTAATGTGGCATTCTAGTCTCCTGCCAGGATGCATGGGGTCAGAGGCGGAATCAGATCTCCGATACGTCTAAGGAATATCGTCCTTTCAGTCGGAGAGTTTGGGGCGTAGATGTTAAAGAGTAGGAATTCCTCCTCCTTCCATCTCAGGTGTAACATACACTACCCCCCTTCTGTCTGGTCGGCTCTCTTATCTAGCACTGAGCCTGTTGTATATAGGCGAGAGGATTTGGGAATCAGGATGGTTGTACCCTTGGAGCTTGTGTCGAGGTCGGCCGACCAAATTTCATCCTTCAAGCCGCCTAATTTCCTTGCCAAATACGAGCGAATTCTGGTGTGTTCTTGTGACATGGTGAGGTGAGTTTCTTGAAGCAGCACTATATCTACTATTTTAGTATTTCCCTATTTCCTTGAGATAACCCAGTTAATATGTCGTTCCATTTCTCTTCTCTAATCAGTATAGCCCGTTGACATTCCAGCTTCGGAGGACTATACCTTGGTCTCTCCAGTCGACATGGTCCCTACCCTCATTCGCTCTTTTTCTATAGTTCTCCATGGGAGCTGCATAGATGGGTTAGGGGTTAGCCGGATGAGTTCTCCTTTGGAAGGGGGAGATCGGTTTTAAAGAGGATATCTAGGTGAGAGGATCTTCCTTGTCCGTATCCCCACCCGTAACCTCCTGGCCGGTCCCAGGTCCGCTGCCCGTTAGTGGGGAGAGTGTGACATCTCCCACAGCATCTTTCCCGTCCAGCACAGCCTGATCGCTGTTATCCTTTCCAAGGTCTTGGAATTGGCCCAACCCATCCTTCTCGTCATCGCCATCCCACGAGCTGACATCCGAAGCATCACTCCAATAGAACCTTTCACAGTCAATGGCATGAGCTTTGGCCTCCAGGTCTTCATCCCCTTCCAGCTGCCCTGTGTTGACTATCTTGGCCATCGCTATTGCCAGCAGCTCAGCTGAGATGCCGATGTGCTAAGATGCTGTACGGCACTTCAATCATTGTTCTCCAAGGTTTCCAGATCATCCCTGGATTCAGCTGCGTTGTCTCGGGCATCTTGGCTATTAAAGGTGAAAAGGCCGTCGGGGAATTTCTGCACGTTTCATTCATGCTTTTGAGTGGGTTCTCTGATTCTTCCTGGATGTGGGTGATCATCTCTTCATCTTCCATAGAAACGGTCTCAAACAGTCCCAACGGGGTCTCCACTGTTACCTTCCCTCTCAACAGCTTGATCACGTTCTCGCCCTCTATGTAGTGTGGGATTTTGAAGGCAACATCTGTTGCAATTTGCCATTCCTTCGCCTTCTCCACATATCTGGCTGCGATAAGAGGTCGGATGTTCCTAAGTGTCCTGCGAGCCGAATTGGCTGCCTCAACCACCCTAGGGACCTCCCCGCGAGCGATCTGAGCAATGGAAGAGAATTCGGCAGCATATTCGTTGTTCCATTTTTTCAACTTCTCCGTTTGCGACATCACCACCGCCGCTTCTTTTTCTAGAAGGGCACGTTCCGACTTTTCTTCGACCTCAACTGGTTCGTTGTTAGTCTCTTTCCGTCTCTGGTTCTTCCCTATTTTTCTTGTCTTGGGTCTCAGGTCCTGAAAATTGTCGCTGGTGGTAGGGATGGTTTTATCTTTGTCTACTGTCCCTTGGTCTCTTGCCCTTTTTTTCTTTACATATCTGAAGGCAGCAAGTTCAGAAAACTCCTCAGCTCTTTCCTTTTTGAGTAATTCGTATTGGTTGGAAGAGCTGCTGATCCCCGCAATTGGATTTTTCTTTCCTTTCACCAGGGGTCTTTCCGCATGTTTCAGGCAGGCGACCCGAACGTCGAAGGTGTGTTCTCATTCCCTTTTTGCCTTCTCCACATAGTCCCGGAGCCAGGTCAGGGACTGCAAGGGTCGACCCTCCTCTGCTGTAGAACCAGCGTTTGGTGTGCTGCTCCTCCCTCCTGCTTCATCATCCGCCTCTTCTCCCTTTGAATCCGTCTCCATCCCTTCTCCTTCCACTCCTGTTTCCAATGTTTCTGCTCCCTTTCCCTCCGTTGATTCCCCTGCCTTCCTTCGCTTCGGGCCCATTCCCTCCTCTGGCGATCCAGCATCCCCCTGCAGTTGGCGCTTGTTGTCTGCCTGGGTTTTATTTCTTCTCTTATACGTCTGCAGTTCCGCTTGTTCCGCTTGTTTCAACGCTTTTCTAAATGCAGATGGTTCCGTGTTGAATTCTTTTTCGATCTGTTCCCTTATGGTGCCGAGGTCTCACAACAGGTCTTCCCTCGCTTTCTCCTCCCTGATAACTCGGGAGTCTGTGATGGGATTAGTGTTAATCTTCGTCGGGTTGCCTCTCACTTTTCCGGTCGCTTTCTTCTGCCACCTACTGTCCACTGGGGGGAAAATGTCTGGCTTTTTGATCGACGGGTTGTGGTCGCGAAAATGCCACACCCAATCGGGTTCATCCAGGTTGTCATCGAATACCCAACCATCGTATGAAGGATCTGCCACAAACCAAATACCGGTGCATCTGCTACTTCTACCAACATGTTCGGTAGGAGTTTCCTCTCTTTCAATTGCTTCGGAAACTTGGGGCATGTGGGATCGGTCCCAAAATGACCCCTTTCTCTGCAGCGGAAACATATTGGAGAAGTTCTGGTTGAGATCCTCACCTCAATCAGTCTGTCCTCGATTTGGAATTTCCAGACTGATGGAAATACCGGCGGATCGTCTGTTTGTACGTCCAAGATCGCTATCATTGATCCACAGTGGGGGGCCAGAAATTATGGCGTCAGTAGAATCCATTTCAGAATTTTGTTCGCAGTGTATTGTCTTTCCAGTTTGTCGACCAACATGCCGTGAAAACCCCGCTGAATGTTGTCAAATTGTACCCAGAAGTTCTCTTTCATCAGGGTTTGTTTGAAGGAAACTGCGAACACCGGATTCTGTCTTTGGACTACACGTTTTTTCCATCTAGTAATCGAACAGACTGAGCCGTGACGATTCCTGGATTGCATTTCCGCTGCGATTCTGGCATGATCCTCGTGAATGAAGAGAGCCATGATGTTGTTGCGACCCAGGGTCTGCAGCGTAAACGCGTCCCCAATCTGTTTCAGTTTTGGTTCCTTCCTGATCGTTTCGATAACCCATTTCCGCTTTTCTGCTGGCTGGAGATCTGCCCCATGTCGTGCGAAATTAAACACTACTCCGTGTTTCTCGTGGAGGTCGTCCAGCTCAGCAACTTTTTCTTCTGGATATTTCCATACGATCACCTCTTCTTCCTTGCCATCCGCAACCTGTTTTTTGGTTGATTCGATTCCCTGTACCTTCGTTTTCTCAATTAGAAACTTAAGAGCTTCGTTGTCAATCGGATTGATAATCTTAACCGTTTTTGAGAGTTCACTCGGGTTCATGCCCTGTGTTGGGTTGGCCATCTTTAATCACAGCAGCTCGTAGTCGTGTTCCTATCCGTGTTCTAATTGGAGGCTGACGTGGTGAGGTGGACCGTCGTCTGTACGAGAGGAATTGGGGATTACTAAGGTAGGAAGTTAGTTAGTAGGGGAAGAAGTGGTTATCGGGCTCAGGGGCAGGTTCAGGCAGAAATTAGTTACAAGATCAGCTTCTTGCTAGGAAGGGGGCGGGGGAGGGAAAAGAGATTGAAGTGGGTATTGGGAACGGGCCGCGATGCACTAGACCCAGGATCAAAGGTGGAGATGGGATCGGGTACGCGAGGGGATGGGGCCGGAGTAGAGGATGGGATCGGGCACGAGATCAGGGAAAGTTTAGGCTGGGGTTGGGAGTGGACGCGGGTTCGTATCAGGTTGAGCTCAGAATGGAAGAAGGAAGCAGATCGGTAGATAGGATCAGGGATGCAATGAGGGGGGAACGTATGAGGTGGGATAGAAGTCGCAATGGAATGTAATCGGAATGAAAGTTGGGGTCGTGTAGGAGTACGTCGGGGCTGAACCCGAAAATGGGTTTGTGAAGAAATAGGGTCAGATTAGGATATGGGACAAGAATAGGGACGGGGATGAAATCGTGATGAGTGGGGACGGAATGGAAGAGGGGGACGGGGTCGCGATCTTAATGGGGTGAAAAAAGGAGTAGGAGACAAGACCGGGCTCTGGATTGGGGTGTGGGATGGGATCCGAAATCGGGCCAGGGCAGGAGCGGGTCGGGACTGGGAATGGGAGCGGGATCGTGAAAGGAGGGAGTCAGAGTGGGAGAAGGATTGGAGTAGGAGGGGAGATCAGCTTGACAATGGGGAATGGGCGGGGTGGGAGAAGGGATCGGGATCAGGTTCGTAAGAGGAGGGATACGGCGTGTGCGACAAGACCTGAACCGGGCCACAGGTCCTTCGCCCGCCTCTCGGAGTATGCTGCTCGTCTAATCATCGCAACCAATCAGCACTGGTAAGTACAGAGAAAATGATAATTCAAGCAATCCAGGATTTTCCTTCATTCTCCAGCAAACAGCAAACCTTCGCTGTAATCAGCTCCTTTCTGCATGGTGCTAAGTTCTATACCACCTCACCTGCAGGGTAGGCCATGCTCCTGCTAACAATGAAAAAAGAGCTGAGACTTCCGGACTATCCTGAACGCTTCTTTGATAATGATCTTTCTGCTTTTTCAGCTAAACATGCTGGATGTTGGGATGAATGGGTGACCTGCGTCACCCAATGGGACAAACTGTTTAAATAGCTGGTTACTAAAATTTTATTCACGAGAAAATGCTACGTGAGAGATTTATAGGCTGGCCTCGTATACCCCTTCGGCTGAAAAAAAGGGGTGTTGTTGGTAGATGTAATTGGATAGCCCGATAGAGTTGCACAACGGGTCCCGCGCCTGCCTCGATCCCTCGGTTCTGCTGTGACACAGAATCTGCTAGGTATCTCGTCTGACAGCATATCTTCAGAAATAGTGTTTTTTTTTTGTTTTTTTTTTCGTTTTTCTTTGATTTTTGGCCCTTCGGCTCTCCGACTTCTGATTCGATAGGAAGGTACTGGACATCACCCGCCAGAAGGCCTGTTTACACTTACCGGACATGGGAATGAATCTACGTCGGTTCTTGGAACTGTTTCTTCAATCAGGCGGACCAACTCCAGCTACACAGAGTATTTCTGTCCAGTTCACGATTGGCAACTCCACTGTTTCGGTTCTCGAGGAACAAGATGACTCTGCGCCTGCTTGTGACGATTTCTCTCCAGGCTCCAAACCTCCGCGCCTCTTCTCTTCCCTCCTCTCCATCTCTTTTTTTTTTACCCAAAAAAGCAGCCCCTTCTATTCTGGGGGGCATCAGTCCGGTTGCTCATCACCGGCAAGCCTGGAAAACAAAATACAGTTTGGTTTAAAAGAGAAGAGGAAAGCCTTGCCCTTGCAGCCCTAGACGCCTCTCAAGGGGGGGATTGCTACAACCAAAACCCACTTCCAATACCATAGCCTCCCCAGGGATACCTCTGTTGGTCGGGAAGCTTCCTAGCAGCACCCAGCCACACAACAGATGGGTCCCCAGGGAAGGCCTGGTTCGGGGGGGCTGTTCTAGCAATCTCACGAGCCTCTCATCGTGTTAAACCCTTCCTCAGTTTCCCCATTAAAATCCTCTGGCTACCATCTAATATTTACAGCACTCGCCCTCATACCACCCTCCAGTCTCTACTACGCTCTCGTTTATACAGCCTACCCCGAGTATCTCTTATATTCTCGAGTATCATCTACGTCTGAGCCCTATCACCTTTATGTTTTATATCTACCCTGCTGATATGTTTACAAGCTCAGCCTTGCCTTATTTGCCCGCCCTCTAGTTCACTACCCATTCTGAGGGCAGTAGGTTTCTCTTGTCTCATCATGGAGAGACCTTGCTGAGCAAATCTATCGATTTTTTTTTTCTCTCTCTTCCTCTCTTGCTCTCTCCGCCCCTCTCTTGCTCATGCTTGCGCGTGCCGTCTAAACTTCTTTCAAGTCTTCTCAAATCCTAGATCTCTCACGACGCTTGCTGATGCGTCGGTCCCGCCGATTATTCCATCGTTCTCAAGGTTGGCCAAGTTATACCTCATCCTCGTGCACTTCAGATAGATAAGTGCACTTCAGTTATATCTCATCCTCGTGCACTTTATATCTCATCGTTCTCGAGGTTGGCCAAGTTATATCTCATCCCGGCGACTATTCCATCGTCCCGCGTAAAATACTCTTGTGTTTCTCTCTCTCTCTCTCTCTCTCTCTCTCTCTCTCTCTCTCTCTCTCTCTCTCTCTCTCTCTCTCTCTCT